TCAGCAGCCAACAAGCCAATTCCTGCAGGTGAGACAATTAGAGACACCCAGATCCCTGCCCAGGGAAGGGAGAGATTCTGAGTGATTAACTTTGGAGTTTACTAACTTCTTTGAGAGCTCCCCCTCCACAATGGAGACTGTCAGGGTGTCCTTTAGCAAAGCGAGGGAAAACAAAATTTTTGACATTTCTAATATTTGCGATGTGGAAACAGTCTTGTCGTTTTAAAGGCAGACGTTTCAACAATGCCTGAGACACCATATATGAGCCCCTTCGTTTTCAGTTTAATCCAGTTTTTACCAAAAAATTCCTGGGTTTCACAAAAAGTATTCTTTTTTTTTTCTGATTTTCATCCTACTTTTGTATCATTGAAATATATAAAAAACTTGTTTTATTAGGAAAATACAATCCATTGCATGAGATCTCTGTATTCCGATAATACATTATCTGTGTGTATATGCAAAGCTGCCTCCTGAAGTAAGAACATATTGTTCTAGAAGATACACACACACACACACACACACACTAACCAACAGGCAGGCACACAAGGTCTGAAGTGCGTGTGCATCTGAACGTACTGATCAATCTCATACCCACCATGTACACATTTCAAACTGTTAGCAGACAATGGGTTAAAGATTTGACGCACTAAAATGGGAAGAAAATGATAATCTGTATCAGAATAAGTTTCAGAACACAAGGAAGTATTCGAAAGGGTTAAAGAAACAAAAACAGGATCAAAGGATGAAGTTGGGCCACACCATTTGCAGCGCATACACTCAATTATTAAATGTGAATGTTTATAGGATAATAGTTCTAAGTCTACACCAGTAAACTGTTTGTTCAAATAAAACTTTTCATTTGGGGATTAGAGATCTATTGTTTTCTTAAACTCAGAGGGGCACTGTGTTTTGAGCTCTGTTTTAGTTCTGCAGCAAACCACAGTGATGAACGGAATTCAAAGCATTAATCTACTGAATTTCGTGTCTTTTCATCTACCAAAACAAACCCCGATATTTACCCAGAGAGTTGTTTGCACTGATTTTCAGCTGTTTTTGTTGTGGTGGTAATTTTTCATGGGAATTTCAGTGTTTCACTAAAATAAAAACTGAAAATGAAGGGCCCTAATAATATGGAAGCAATAAAAGGCACAAGTCCAGTTTCTAGGAAGTAGGAGATTAAGAAAGCGAAGCTCTTTGCAGAGCCTGTTAAGAAATGGGAATGAATCCAGTTTCTAGAATTGCACACATGGAGAAAGGCAAATGCTCTGGACACAGCAGTTGCATGTGGAAGTCAGGGATTCATGTGTCTGATCAGTCTGTTTGAGCAAGTGCCCTTGGCACAGGCAAAATAGAATTTAGAAGGAGAAACCCCACAATCATGGTGCATGCTTAGGGGCCCCATTCCATCGAAGTCTGTGAATGGAATTTTAAAGGTGCAACTACAGAGAACTGCATCTAGAGCTCGACTAGGGACAGCAAAGTGAGTCCTCTCCAGAGCAGGAGCGATCGCCAGCTTGTGGCTCGTGGCACTGAGCTCTTCTTTTTCTTCTTTCCTCTCTCTCTTCTAGGACATCAGAAGCACCTGGAGCAGGTACGTAGCTCCTTCCCACCCCCCCTTACGTGTCATGATGTTGGAAGGGGATTGGACTCCCGGGGTCAGATTTTGCAGGGTATTTAGACACCTGACATGTAGCTAGGCACTTGATAGAATTTTCCAAAGCAGCTAGGCGAGTTAGGCACCTCCCATTGCAATCATTGGCAGTTGGGAGCCTAGTGTGGTTAGGTGCTTTTGAAAATCCCAGGAGTCACCTTTAAAAATCAGGCCTTAAGTGACTTGCCCAAGGTCACGCAGGGAGGCTGTGGCAGAGCAGGGAGTGGAACGTAGGTTTGCAGACTCCTACAACAACCCCTTAACCACTGGAGCATCCTTTCCCACGAGATTATGCCCTTCTCTCTGACGGACAGCTTGTGGACCCCTTACTCTCCAACTCCCATTTGAGGATCTAGGCATTTAAATACTCCAGAGAGGAGGGCAGTTGACTCACCAGTGGGAGTTAGAGGCTCACAACGAACCCACAAGAGAGCAGCCTCTGGTAGCTCATTCTCACAAAAGAAAGAAAAGTTTTAGAGAATGTTTGGTTTTTTCCCCTCTAGGTGTGAGAAGGTGAAGTTTGAGAAACCAGTGGCCGTGCCAGAGGACCTGAGAGAGAGAGTCGGCGTCTCTTCTCAAAGAAATGTTTGTCTGCAGGAGGCTCTGAAGAAATTCAAAGGTAACTGAACAGTTAACTGGGCTCATGCTACAGTGATGGTACATCGAGATGTGCCTCTGACTGTGGAAGGAGATGGATTCTGGCCTATTAGTTCTCAGCTCGTCCCAGCTAGACGTCTTTGTGGGTGGGATGGGGAGGGCTCAGGGCTGATGCCAGTTCACCAGGACTCCACTTGGATTGTCTCAGACCCAACCCTGGGTATTAAAATTGGCCACTCAGAATTTCAGAGACACACAATCACCAGATGTTATAGAAAATCTTGAATTTAACCTCCCTGGCTGGGATTTTCCAAGGGACCTAAGGGATTTAGGCACCCATCTCTCTGACCGTCAATGGGAGTTGGCCACCACATGGCCTCAGCCCTTTTGAAAATCCCAGAGTCTGTACCTCAAGTTCCTCCATCTTTAAAAAGGAGGAAATAATGGCCAGCCTACCTTGTTGTGGTAATTAGTGAAT